CAAATCTCTCAGACATATGCCAAAATTATTTAAGTTTTAAGTGTACTGTTCTGCGCTGTTTAAATAAAGGAGAACAAAAGTTTTCTTCCTGATTTGTTGAAACGCCTCAGTCTCCACATCTCCACTTCTCCATCCCAGTCCAATGAAGTGTCCTCATTTTTGCTCTTTGTTTAAGAAAGCAATCTGGTACACAAATCACTGTACCAAAAAACCTAGAACTGAATGCAACTTTCAGAGCAAAGTAAAAATACTACAGTGTCAAAAACTGGGGCATCTTTTTATGCTTTTGAGATGGACTCACCTGGCTGTCAGACACTACCCAGCCTCCCTCACTGCCCCTTCCTCAGAAGGAAATAAGATCATAGGCCAAGGTAAAGCTAGAGAGATCCATTACCAACTCCTGGTACAGACAAAACTGAATCAATTTGCAGACAAATTTGTTACTAATTAAGTGGTAAGAAACAAAGATATAAATTAAAATGAGCATCCCCACCCACATCCCCAGCATTTCCCAAGCAATAACAGTCTAAAACCAAAACAGTTAAAATGAAAAGGGGGGGGGGGGAACACAGGCTGGGGACTCCCAATCATTGGGGCAAATTCAGTAATGAACAAGTTCAGATCTGATGACTCACTGCCTTGAGCCTCCATTGGCTGCTGCCACAAAGAAGGCTTTATAAAGCAGACCCTCAAAGCACATCTAGTGTTCCTGTTAAACCATGAGTCCCCATACAGGTCATCAAAGAAGTGGGGAACAGAAGCAAGCATGGGATAAAGAAAAGATTGCCACTTGTCATCCTGTAAGAAAAGAGAAATTTTCCATGGGGAGAGTTCTGAGCAGCCTGCCCACAGAAAAACAGGCAAGCTATGGTCAACTCAGATTTTTAAGCTTGCAGTTTCTCTGCTAGATGGTTCCAGTTCACCATGAGGAACACAACCCCCCACTGAGGTGTCATCACCTTATGCAAGTTATCCCAACAACCAGTAGGACAAAATCAGGTTTGTTTCAGCAAACATTTATCCAAGGCAGGCATACACAACAAAGCCAGGCAGGATTCTCTGTTATCCTTCAAAGCAATCTGAGTGCAGGACCACCGACTTTGACGTTTTAATCCTCTTTTGGGTTTCTGGGAATTATACTGATCATAGAATATTCTTAACTGGAAGGCAGCCACAAGGATCATGAAGTCCGTGTGTGGGCTCTACATAGGACAGCCCCAAGAATTCCACCACGTGCCTGAGAGTGTTGTCAAAACTCTCCCTGAAATCTGTCAGTCAGGGTGCTATGACCACTGCCCTGGGGAACCTCTTCCAGTGTCTGACCACCCTCTGGATGAAGAAACTTTTCCAAATATCCAGCCTAAACCTCCCCTGACAGAGCTCCATGCTGTTCCCTCAGATCCTGTCACTAATCACCAGAGAGAAGATGGATGTGCAGCTCTCACTCTGTAATGTTTGGCGTCCTCCAGGTTCCCAAAGGAACAGTGATCCCATGGGTGCAGCAGATACGTTTAGCACCTCCAACTACTATTATGCAGGTGTTTCTACTCAAAATGCCCATTGGTATGTTTCTTCCCTTTAGTCACAGCAAGAAATTGCCTTTCCCCTGCCCATTAATTTTGGAGCAAGCAAAGTTGGTGCACATCTGTGTGCTGCACAACTGTGTTTTTGGGGAATGCTGGTCATACGCTTCTAAACCATATGACATTAGAAAAACCCGTTTTCCCATGTGGATTTCCATCCAGACCGACGTATCTCTAAACCCTATCTCCATACCGAAGATGTCATTGCTCCTCGGAGATCCTGTTCCGGGGAGGCCGCAGTGACGCCTGCTCTGCGCCGCCCCCGCGGCTACCAGTTCACTAGGGCCGTTCAGAGTGAGGGGCGCTTCAGCGGGACACCAAGGTCACAGGGCACATTCACGGTGTGCCGGGAGCAGGGCGACCCCGGCCCTGCCACCCCACCCAATCCCACCCGGCCCATCGGAGGAGCAGCGTCGGTGGCAGAGAAGCATGGGCGCCGCTGCTGGGAGAGGCGGGAGGAGGCCGCGGCCTCCAAGCCACACGGCGACGGCGCTCGGGCACCGGCCCGAAAGCCTGACCCGACAGCATGCCGGAACTTCGGCAGCGCCTCCAGTTAAGGCAGCTGCACTAGGGCTGGGCCCGAGCAGCCCCTGCACAGGGCTCGGCCCGGACCCAGGCGCAGGGGACGGCCTTGCCGCCATCCCGCGGCTCCCCGCCCGAGCCCGGCCAGACAGAACGAATCTGCGGCGGCCTAGCAGCGCTGTCATGCGCAGGGAGAAGCCGCTGTCGCTCGCCCCGGCCCCGCCGAGCGCCCGCCCGACTCACCAGCACCGCCCGCTCCCCCTGCGTCGCCATCGCCGCCGCCATCCCGACACCGCCAGCCCCGCCCCCAGCACCGCACGCGCACGGCCCAGCAACGCTTGATTGGGCAGCGCCGCTCTCCACCGCCCGCGAGGGCGGGGCCCCGCGCGCGACGACAGCAGGGCGGGACTTCGCCCGCATACGCCCCGAGCGCGTCCCCGCTGCCAGATAGGTCAGACCGGCCCGTTCCCAGCCCAGCGCACATAGGCGACGATCAAAACGAACCGCGTGCAAGAATACTCAAGAAGTGATGAAACTTCCACTCACTTAAAATAAATACATTTATCCTGGCAGTGAGGTCTTTGTATAGAAGTCGGTGAGTTCCCTTTCACAACGGTTGTACTGCGAGCGAGACGAGAGGTGAGGGCATAGCATCTTCACCACACCAGCCCCTGGGGAGGGGTAGGAGATGGGAATGATCCTTCAAGGTAGGGAAAGCCTCCAACAGCCCCGGTTCCTGCTGTAAGCACAGCTCTCGACTTCCTGTCTGTTGCTTTTAATGACAGTGCTCAAAAAGAGTGCTTCCTCGGGCACCTATAACTCACTGCACCTGAAACCCACTATTACCTACACTTGATTTCATCCTCACGCCCCAGGGCAGGAACAGCTACTGCTGTCCAAGTGTCTGATTATCCACGAGCAGTATTCAGAGCTTGTAAACATTTCAGTTAAGGATCATATCTTAGAATACCAAATTAACTGCTGAGTTACTGTTCACAGAATCATGGGATGGCTGGGGTTGACACGATCCTTAATGCTCATCTCATTCCACCCTCCTGTGATGGACAAGAATCTTCCACTGGATTAAAAAAAAACCCAAATGCCAGAAGGATGAATATCCCAGCCCAAAACTTAACAGAAGTTGTCATCAACACCAGAATATTAAAACAAAGAATCCTCCTCTCATCCCAGATGCATGTAGCCCTCTGCACACAGAGCATGGAATTTATCCAAACTTATCCTCTGTAATTTCTCACTGAGAGTTTCAAGCTTGAGCAATGACTGAAGTGCTCTCAGGATTACTCAGTTTTCAGATGACTTGGTTTTCAGCAGCTCTGAGTTTCTAGTGTTCTGAGGAACACATACTTCCTTAATGCCCCAAGACAGCTCTGACAGGCTTCAGAAAATGCCACAAGAACATTCAGTTACCAAGAAAAGTTTTATTCTTTTTGCCAGTAGCTTTGTTAATTGCACAAAAAAAAAATCTTTGCCATTTAAACATTTTCACACATCCTATTCTGAATGACAAATGTTAATTAAAAACAAGGCAGGAAAATAAAAATTCACAACCTTAATGAACTATGTGATCTATCATTGAGGAAAAAGGAAACTGCTTTTCTTACAAGCTTTCACAAGTGTCACATTTTCTCTTTAAAAAGGAGGGAGTTAAAAAAAGCAAACTTCTAAAATCTTCATGAAAAGAAACTTTACAGAATTGTCAACAATATTAGGACAACATTTAACTAGCCAGTTTTATTAGAGCATCTCTCAATCCATTGCTTCCCCCACTTCCCTCCCTCAAATCCCAGGCCTAGGAACAGACTCAAATCCACATTCAGAGGCTACAGACATAAATACAAGAATCTGAGTGAGACTGACAGCAATTTCAACTGGCATCTGGAACGGTCTGGATTCCCCCATTTCCATCCCTCCTCTTCAGAGCTACATCAGAGCTCTTTGGTCTCCTCGGCACACCTGTGACTGTACAGCTGTCCAGGCAGCACTGCAGCCACTCTACAGCTACCCACAATGGCTGAAAGCTGCAGTCAGACCCTTCCAGGATAAATTACAGTGTTAACTAGTCCACATCTGCCACTCCCGCAGAAATAACCATCTCCATTCTTGGGAACTACAGTATTTCTAGAAACAAACCCTGCAGCAGTGAGCTGCCTTAGGACTGGTCCTTTGAATTCATTATGAAATACCTGTCACAGGACTTGAGAGCTCCTTTGGCATTCTCTCTGTATCCAGAGGCACCACAAACTAACAAAGATACTCCATTACCATTGCTCACACCATCCACGGTCACTCTGGCGCAAGACACCAGGGACAGGGGGGGACGCCACTGAACTGGCTCTGCACACGGGACAGTACCGCCTTCTTCCTCCCAAAAGATTTTTTCCATCAGTCTCATTTCCTGCCTCCAAACCCACAACTTCCCTCAGATGCCCACAATGCACAATTCATATGAGAGATTTTTTTTTTACTATAGTATGTTTAACAAAGGACTTCAGGTGCTAACTGTGGAGTTCTGAGTGGAGAAGAACAGTGTGCCAAAGCAGGTCAATGGTTAGCTATGCTGGCAATTTTACATGCCTTTAACGTGAATACCTACATACAGAATGGCAGTGGCATTGCAAAGGAACACAGGTGTAGAACTACCATCGCCCACACACAGTGGCCAAGAGGCAGTGAGGTCTGACAGCCCTGTTGCCAGGTGTTCACTATAGGATATAAGTAATGCAGAATACAGCATTAGCCCACAAGGAACAGTCATCACAGGAGGTGAAATACTCAAAGTAACATTTACAGCATAAGGCATTAGATGTTGTGATTCAATGAGTATGTGACAAAATGAGTATGTGACACTTTCCTTCTTTCTTTCTTAACAAGGTGTCCCTGAACCATACACACATGCTGCACAAAGCAGGACTGGTAAGAAATCCTAACCCAGGGAAAATTTCCTTACACAGCCGTTACGTTCCTAGGAAAAAAAATAAGGTGGCAGGGGCAGATGTCAGGAACACAACCTAAATTGAATTTGTCTTCTTTCCTTTCCGAATCCCAGCCCAAGGGAGGAAGGAGATTGTACCACTTGAGAAGTGATTTTGGCCAAAGTTTCTCACTGGCATTTTTCTAACACTCAAATTTAAAATGCAAGAACACTCCCAAAAGGCTAATACTGAGAATTGGAAAAAAAAAAAAAAACCAACAAAAACCCAAACAAACCAAAAACCAAGTCACACCCCGTGCATTTTTTGTGACAGGCATCCTTTGGACTCTGGGTTGCTCTGCTATCTACACTGAGACAATCTCTGTTCTCTAGCCTTGGCATCTGCAGTTCATGTCACCCATCTCTAGACTAAAGCTCAGCAGTGGTCTTAGCCTCCCCAATCTCAGTTATTGGTCTTTCTAGAAGTTGGTATCTGGCCATAAGCAGAGTTCACAGATACAGGGAGAAGGCTCATGCTGTGCCATCTTGTACCCAAAGTAGTAACACTAAGAACATGTATGGAAAACCTGACATGTATAAAGATCACTAGGCAGTACACAGAAGTATCCCTGTGAGGTAGGTAACCATCACCCACCTTTATAGATGGGCAAACAGGCTGAGAGATGTGACAACCATGCAAAGGCCAGAGAGCGTGGAAAGGAGCTCAGGAATCTCAATCTCTTGGATCATTCTTCTCTCCCTTTTCAGACTCACCACTCTGCTTGTGACACTGCTGCAATCCAAGACACCTTTGTAATTATTGACTACAAGGGTTAAAAAAAACCAAACAAGTAGTAACATAACATAAGCTAAGGCCAGGAACAAGTAAAATCTCTAGCCCAGTTTTATAGGCACTATGTTTGTCTTGCAGTTTTCTATGCAAAGGTGTTACTTTCCAATGATGTTTTGGATGGGCTATGATGAACCTTTCAGGAGTCTCATTGACATACGTATTCTCCTATTTTCAGTACAGTTTGTATTCCCTAAGCTGTAGTTGTCTGTACAGGGGAAGACATGGATGCAATGTGTTATCTTTAACAGTACAGGAATTCCTCCATCAAGGTGGGGAAGTGGAAGTCTAAAAAGAAACTGAATCAAGACAGTGTTACACTCAACTCCCCTTACCCTCTGGAACTGCCCTTCTCCTCCATGGGAGGTGCCTTGTTCTCTAACAGTGGCTAATTAGCAGGCATGCTCCTCACCTTACTTGGGACCAAGGACCCTGTCCCCTTGATGCAGAGAGTCCAGCACTTGCATTATTTCACAGCAAAGAAGAAAAGGGATTGTTAGAAACAGCATCTTGGACTAGCAAACAGAGGAAAATTAAAGCAGCCAAGCAGCAGATTTCTGGCAGAGTTGCCTCAGAGCTTCTGAACAATTGCCGCTGTTTCATCTCACGACTGTCAGTGCATGGCATGGATTTTTCTAATTAGACTGCAACAATCCGAGCCCCCTCCTCCCCCCTCCTGCCACAGTGGAAGGCTCACCACAGCAGGTCTCAAAGTTTGTGTATAAAAGGAAATGGAAAGACAGAGATGGACTGGTCCAGAGTTAAAACCCAGTATCATAATAATATTAATCAATCATCATCGTATGAACAGTAAGAAGGGTGCAGCCTAATGGATGTAGGCCCTGTACACTGCGGACATGTCGTTGTCAGATTGGTCCAAGGCTTTTGCTCGTTTATAGACCTAAAGAGAAATCAGAAAAGGATCAGAGCCTGCTCTTGTGTGAAGCCTTTTCCCAGCAGAAAAACTCCTTTGCTGACCACTGCAACCAGAGAACCGCACAGGACGTCAAATAATCCAAGTGCAGATCAGAAAATGCCAGGTCTTTCTGTGTTTCCTGATTTAACATTCTAAGCGTCTCTACAATCAAAACAAATCCAATGCTACCCTAGTCAAAAAATATTTCAATCACTGTTCCCTTGTCGTAGAGATTATGTAATTCTTTGATCTGTGTCTCCGATTGACAAATGGCACTGTTGAATAAATGCTAAAGAACACATCTAAACACTGAACAACTCTTACCTCGTTGGCAGCAGCTGCCATGGGAGTTGGGTGGTTGACAGAATCGCCCAGTGCAATAGCTAATCTAAGATCCTTCTGGATGTACTTCAGGTAGAAATCAGGTTTGAAGTTTCCTTGCAAGATATCTGCGGAGAGGAACCCATGCAAAATTAAGCATGACAAAAGTAAGCCAAGCCAATGCTGCAGGGGGCTGTAATTCAACACCAATCTCTCTTTCCATTGCTGATCACTACTTTTAACTCTCCTGTTTTTGCACTCTCCATCTTCATTTGGCCACAGCAGATTAATATCACTACTGCCCACTGACAAAGTGAGCTTTCTAAGCAGCTTGTTACCCTGCTGCAATGAAATCCTGACTTAAGCCCTAAGCAGTCCTAACTCAGATTCTCAGAAGTCCCAGCCATGAAGGGGAAGGAATGGGAACTCAGCTCTTCATTTACAGAATGCTCAAAATAACCATTATCCCAGGTTGATGAAGATGAGATTGTTATGTTGTACCTTCTGCCACTATCTGAAAAGCTGTATTTTAAACATTCATTTCCAGAATGCTTAAAATAACCACTATCCCAGGCTGATGAAGATGGGATTGTTATTTTCTACCTTCTGCCACGATCTGAAAAGCTGCTAGATTGTAAAAATGATCTGTAAGAAAATAATGTAAGAGAACTTTACTTTGGCACTTCTGGTCCAGGAAGATGCTGGCAAGTTGTCCCTGATTGAGGATATCCAGAAGGGTCTGCTGGGACTGGCCAGTCACTTGAGCCAAAGTCAGTCCTTCTGCTATTGTTGCCATGAAGCTGCCTTGGACCATGTTCACAATCAGCATCATCTTGGCGGCATTGCCTACTTCACCTGGGAGTGAGACACACCATTGGGATTCCTCCAGAAGAGAAGTAGCAGCCCTGCCTCCCTAGCCCACACAGCAGTGACACTGTTAGACTGCTGTCATCAAGCACTTGGCATCTCTCCCTTGACCTGAAAGACTTCAGAAAATATTTCCATTTTCCAAGCACTCAAAGGAATGGAGAAATAATAAGAAAATATTATTTAAAACCGAAAGTATCACAGATCCTCCAAAATAAGCTGGCATTCAAAAAAGAAGCCTTAGCCTGCAGGCTCTGAAACTGGCCAAGTTCCAGAGCAGCAAGCCAATTTCCCACACTGCCCACAGAGAAAAGGTGACATATACATCTCAGACTCCTTGCTGAAATTCCCAGTCCTTGCACTAAGAAATTGCTATCAGGCCCTCCACATTTCAATTACCTAAGAAAAAAGAGGTCTTCCCCATGGCTTGGAAACAGCTGCTGCAGTCCTCATATAAACCCCTGTCACCAGCTGCCAGGATCACAAGCATTCCATCATTAGAGAGCTGTTGGTTTCCTGAGACTGGTGCTTCCAGAAAGCGACCACCTCGGGACACTATCACCTGGGAGAAGAACATCTCTGGTTAGCTGTGCATGAACAGCAGCAGGAACATCATTTAAGGCATACCTGCCACTAAGGACAGAAATTTAAAGCAGAACAAATAGCTCCAACAGGAGAGGAAAGCACTATTGTGATGTATTCTGCAAAGTGTGATTAAGACCAAAAGGGTCCATGCAAGACCCTCCAGCACCCATCACTACTGTGTATATTTTAAGCAGCTGAACTGACACGCTTTAGTCATGGCACCCTATACGGGCCAAGGGACCAATGTTGAAGGTGTATATGTCGCCTAAGAACCCCAGAAGATTGATCATTGTATTTTCCCCTCTTTCCCACAGAGGAAAGGCCTTTGACAGATCTCTTCAGCCAGATGTTTACTAATATGGGTGATCTGCATTCTGCGAATTAATGTTACACACCAGCGCATCAACAACATGTTTACTTAGAACTTGACAAAACCAGTTCCCATTCCTTGTAAAACTACACATGCTGCCTTAGGGCAGTGGGGAACAAGCAAGACGCCAAAAAAGAAATCACAGATACCACAGCAGAAGTAATCAGAACACTTCTAAAGAAATCCTATAATAATATTTCTATAGAATGAAATGTGAAGGCATTAATTTTCCCCAACCAGAGCACTTAAACTAGGCAGATTTTGCATTTCATCACTCATTAATCTAGACAGGGTTTTACTCACGAGTTTGCTACAGACTACCAACCTGTCTACAAATATTTCTTAGGGGACCAAAATTTGGCTATCTGTTTGCAATGGCGTCAGGTAACAGCTCTGCCAAATCTACAACTTCGCTGGTATCACCAGGGAACATCTCATCCAACACTGTTTGCTGGTTAAGACTTGACAAAGAAGACTTGTCTTGTTTGCCTGGAACTTGAGACTCTCCCAAGGACCTCTAAAAGTTTTATTACCAACAGAAACTGAAGAACTTCTGCTGAATGAACACCTGCTGCTGTTAAGAGGCTCAGTTCGGTGATTACCTGGGCCAGCTCTGTGACTGTATCTGCATCCACTGTGGACATATCCACATAACACTTCCCTGGGCGAATCCCCTGCAACACTCCACTCGGACCAAGCACCAGCTGTGGAGAACAGAAGAGCGGTAAAGCAATAGGGTGTCTGCAGAGAAACCCCACTTCTGCAGGAGTCCAGCTGAGTCTGGCGCTACAGTGGCAGACCCCCAGAGGGTTATCAGAACCGGTCCTCAAAGACTTCATTTTTAAAATGCTTAATTTTTGTTAGGACATTTATTTTTACACAGCTGCACTGCTCAGGATGTACAATGACCCAGGCTACTGTGGTTAGCAGGAATCAGAACCGGCATTCAGTGACTGCCATCTCATAGTCTAACCAGCAGGGGTAAAATAAGAGCTAATCCTTACATCCTTTGCTGCTTTTGGATCTGATACACAGGCAAACGTGATGTCACAGGTGGAGACTACTTCAGCAGGCGTTCTTCCCAGCCGTGCACCCTCCTGGATGAACAAATCACACTGCAAAAGGCACAAGTCCAAAGTTAAGAAAAATATTAATTACCAAGCAAATGGATTCTTTGCATTTTGCTGTAAAAATTCTACTGCAGGACACAACTCCAAAGGAGACAGGCATGTTAATTACACAACTTTGTCTTCTTCTGTTGCTTTGTCTACACACACACACGTGTGTGTGTGCAGGGCTTTTTTGCAACTTTTCTGAAGAAGTGGTGAAGAACTTTGAAAGAAAGACACAAAGAAATAAAACTCTAAGGTGAAACAGTAAGAAATTTGTGGGTTTGGCAAGAAATTATTAGGGGGAAAAAAGGAAGATTTAGGAAAAAAAAATTGGTTAAAGGACATAGCAACATGTGTTACTGAATAGTAATAGGAATATGCATATCTGAGATGAGTGCGTTTCAGAGGGCTGCTGCTTCAAAATCTTAGCTCCTTCTTACCCTATCCCCTCATATCAGCCATGTTTTGCTCTTGGAAAAAAAAAATCTTAGTCCCCTTTTAAAAAAGTAACCACAGTGCCCTTCCTGCTCTGCTATTCCACAGCATCTTACAACTACCACATCTCCCCCAGCTACCTATATTCCTACACCACTACAAAGAGTAACACTGTCTAGTATATAAGTGCAATGCAATATAAGCTCCATTTTCAGTTTGAATACTCCTATAAAGCCCTTCTCCATCCTGGTCTCATGACACAGCAGGTCTTTAACAGAACACTTGTTACCACATGACTAGCACAATAGATGTAGACTAACCTGCAGCTGAGCACTGCATCTTACCATACCCTCAATCTCCTGGGATAACTCTGTGCACCTGGCCTTTTTGGCACAATACATCTCATGGCAATTCACATCAGCAGTATTTTCATGGCTATTCACAGATGCACAATACACTGACCATGGCTATTCACATCAGCAGTTATTTTCAGAGGCATGTTACATCTCATTCTTCAACACATATATGGGTGTAATATACAAAAGTGTAATTTTTCTGACAACTCTCTCCTCTCACACAAAAAGGCAGTGGGGTGAGACTGCTGACATAAGAGTGACCACACTAGAACAGACCACAGCTGCACCTAGTCATGCCCACCAACAAGCACATAGGAAACAGGACAAAACAAGGTGGCAAGCATATCCTTGTGTTTCTTTGGCATCCCCTCCCAGACACCACTGACAGATGATTCCATGAGATACAGGGGGTAACTGAATGTTTAGCAGAGGCTTAAGCACATGCCTACCTTCTCAGCAGTCCGGTTCCAGACAGTGACAGTGTGACCCATCTTTAGCAAGTTGGAGACAATGCCACTTCCCATCAGACCAAGGCCCAGAAATCCTATCCTAAGGGTATAAATAAACATTAATGCAAGAGAGAGTAATCAGTGTTAGCTTCTCATGGTGCTGGAAATGACAAAGAGCAAACTGGAGCATCATCAGCACAAAAAAATACCCAAACAAACATGTTCTTCTGCAACCACAGCTACAATGGGCAAATACTGAGCTTTAAAAGCAAGCTGAAATTTATTTTGCTTACCAAGCATCCGTAACAATTTCCTGAACAAAGTCTTTAGCCTATTTCAGAAGATCACCTAAATATTAAAGGTTTGGATGGTCTGGATTCTTTTTGTTAGTTTGGGGTGAATGGTTTATGTGTGGTTTTTTGCTTACTAAAAATTGCTGTTTGTGTGCTTTCTGTTGACAGTCATTGCTTTACTGAAGTTAAAGGGCACACTTAGAAATGAGCAGGTGCTTCTCTAATTATTAATCTTCTGACTTTAAAACTAAGTCACACATACAATGTTTGCTTGTATAATTGAACAATACATTAGTATCCTAGTTTTGATAAAGTCTAGCTAAAACTACTGTGCTAAGCATCATGCCAGACCAAAGACCTAGTCCCTGTTCTACAGCTGCCATTTCAGACAAAGGAAGAAAGGAAGTATTGAACCAGCACAGGTCACCATCAGTCCCAGAGAACAGCCTTTCCTTCCTCCCACAAGCTGGAAAGAATTTTGCTCCCTCCATTCAAAAAAGAGAGACTATGCCATCAAGTCCCTATGATCACCTACAACAAAAATTCCTCTTGCAGATATTGCTGCAAGAACCATTTTACCCATCATCCAGTTTCCCATAAAACCCAGAGTTTTCAAAGAGATTCTGAAGCATTCAGTTATATCCAAGGTAACACCACAACAAAAGCTACCTGGCAAATCCAGTAGTTAATTCTGCAGAAATAGCCACAATACAGCAGCACCTGTCTTCTCCCAGCTAGCCATGCTGCCTTTTCTCTTTCTGCCCTTAGACAGTGCAGAGCAAATCACTACAGGCTCCTTATATGGCCCAAATAAGATCTACCTATTTTCAAGTCTCGAAATCAGCAGAGGTATTCCTTCCTTCACAACCCACCTCTGAGATGCACTTTCCTGAGAGACTGTTTTCCCTGAATAGCTTCATTGTTATTTTTGTTCCCCTGCAGTACAAGTGAGAACTGGCATCCCACGAGAACTGCCCCAACAGCAAACAGCAAGAGTGGCCTGAACTCAATGTGAACAGAGCAGAAGTTACAGGAAGCTCAAGCTAGCCTTCTCTCACTCTATAAAAGAGAATGGGTGTGTTAGGAGAAACCAGAAAGCTCGTGTGCCACACAGCAAAGTTTTTGTGATGGGAGAACGCATCTCCCTCTTTCTTTTGTCTTCTGCATGCTCAGGAGAGCTATTAAATGACCCCAGTCAACTAATGGAGAGAGATCCCCTTTTATCTTCCTATCTCATGCAACACTTTGGAATACTGCTGCTAACACCCTGCAGTGGGACCTACTGAAAAAAACAACTGCAGAAACACTCCGAATTGCAGATGCATCCAGGATAGAATTTACTCTGAATTTTGTATTGCACAGCCCCCTTTGAATTTAGCTGCCTCTCTCCCACCTTGTCCCCCAAACAGTTTCACACAAGGAAAGAAGCAATGTGCAGTTAAAGGGAAATGTTAGGTTTATTCATTCTCAGTGACAGGTTGGAGAATGGCTGTATGTGTGAGCTGGGAAGGAAATGGCTGAAGTGCATTGGAGATCTTACTTTTTGTCTGTAGGTGTGATGCTGCCATTGACTGCTGTGCTGTCTGCTGCCTGGATGGAGGTGGATCCTGTCTCCTGAGGGAGTGGGGTGGGGAGACAAGGGCAGGGGGGTGGGGAAAAGAGAGGGGAAAAATAATAATAAAAATAATTTAATGCACAACTCTGGAAGAACCGCAACGCCTCATAACAATAAACATCCATCAAAATGAAGATTTGCTTTACCTCTTCACAAACCTTCAGCTTTTTTGTGATGGCTTGATAGCAGACAGCTGGCTGTATGGAGAAGACAAAGCATTCAGGGGAAGGACAGTGCTGATTTACTCTGCCGAGCAAACAGACCATATCCTTATTCCACAGAAGCAGGGAGCTCACCCACCCACCACCACCTTCAAACCAGGACAACTCAGAGGCTTTCCTCAAGCGGAGAAAATAAAACCTAAAATATATTGCAAGATATTAAGATCATTCTTTCCCACCCTGCCCCAGCAATTCACCCTGTCTTCTGACAAAGGCACTGCAAACTCCCTTCTGTAGTTCCTATAACAGGCTCTTCTGGAGGCACCAGAACCTAGGCCATCCCTACTCCTAACATTTAGCTCTCTGAAGCCTGCCATGAAGCCTCACATCTACACTCACTATGTCTCTGCAAGTTGTGGAACCAAAACCTTCTGGTTAACATGAGAAGGCATGTAGAAGGCTTTCTAAAAATGCTAAGGCAAAGGCTGCTTCTCCCCATGCTGCTTACTGTGAGCTTGTATAGATAAAACTGTTAGCAGCTCTTAATCCTTCTGGCTCTGCCCAGATCCTCAGCGAGATATAAATCCTTTTATGCTTAATTTGATCTTTCCTTTTCCTCCTGATGTTCACTGCTGAATATAAAATCCTGCAAGACTTCTGACTCTCAGGAGATAAACAGGCTGTATTTTACACGGCGCTTTTCTGGTCTTGGAAGTTCTCTTGCAGCATTCAGTGAACTGGCAAGCCTATCCAGATGGAGAATCTGACAGGACAACCATCAAAAACAATCAAACAACAGGATTTTTGAACATAAAAAAAGCTTTTCCTGTCCATCCTGTTCATTCTACACAATTTATTACATCAGATCTGTCAAAAACTAGTGGTAGACGATCTTGAATTACTTAAAACTATTCACTGTACTTAATGCTAAATCACTCTAAATCTTCAGGCTTGGAAGTACTTCAACTAATCTAACTGCCACCCCCTAAAGAAGAGAATTCTGGAGCTCTTTATGAATACCCCTTGTATTCAGTTCCAGCAAAGGGCAGGACTCCAAGCTACCTAGCAGCATGATCCTGTCTGCCAAATCCTTACCTTCTCTGTCTGGCTCAGCAGGAAGTGATGAAAGTGTGGATCACTGTCCTTCACAGGCTACAAAGAGAGAAAATACAGCCTCAGAAATAAATCGAGAGAGTCACTGAGTTACCAGAGCACAATTCCCTCCCTCTCCTAAGCTGCATGAGAGCAAGAGCATAAGGCAGAAAACATAAAATGTATCAGCTGTCACAAGGAATCTGTTTCAATTAAGTAGTTTACATTTTGTTTCATTCTCAAAACCAAAGCCATTCAAACCAAATTCCTCATTTTTGGACATCTGTAGGAAAGAAGTATACAAGCAATATTAACATGGGAGGAAGAAAATTCATCTTGCACTTCTTCCTCTCCCAAGCAAATGAAAACACTTATTTTCCAGGTTCTAAGTAATTCCATAAGGCAGCATTCTGAGAATTGACTGAAGATTGTCACATGCCAAGCAAACCCATCCTAACACCAACAAGGACTGAAGGCCCAGATCCCTCATCTCCCCAGCGAGCATCACATGTACTAGCCTGGAATCACACTGCTCTTACTCTGCTTTACTGATCACTCATTTACTCAACAAAATCGAAAGGGTTTCAAAAGCTGCTTTGTGAAGGAAATCAAATGTAAGCACCCCATGTGATAGCATTCAGACACGGAGAGACTATCCAGATCACCTCTACTCCTGGGAAGTCAGTCACAGAAATGCTTTTGAAACAAGAAGTATAAACATTAGTACAGCAAGTTTAGTGTGAATCTGCAAGTAGTTCCACAGAGACAGAAAACTCATTTCCCCGCATACTTCTGAACTATCTGGGATATTGTTAGACTTTGTTATACTGCAATATGTTCGAACACAAGAAGGTAAGAACAGGCTGTTTTACAGCCAGACAAAAGGCTCTAGATTTGCTGCCACAAACTCATAACATAGAGGTTGTAAAGCTTCTCACCTCGCTCACACTCGGCGGCCATTTAAATCCAGCCACTGTTCCAGTCATCACTCTCTTCACTGTACTTGACTCTGGAATTGTGAGGTCCTGAGGAGACAGAAGGAGGATCACAAAGAGCTTAAAATCTGGCTCAGGAGCAGGTCACAGTATGATGATCATTCGAACACACATAGAGAGCTCCGAAAGCACTACAAAAGCCTTCAATTTCACAGGTCTTTCCATGAGCATTCATATTTAAACACGGAGTATTAGCAATACAGGTGAGGTGAGAAAAAGCATCAACTGCCAGCTAAGGATTTCAACCAGATTTATGGTTTCTGGAGAGTCCATTCTTCATACCTAAGAGGAATCACTGCATTCGTGCACTTATGGAATGAGCAGAAAACAAACATGCTTGATCACGTACTTTCCTCTGGTGGATGCAAAACGCTTATCAAATGAGTGAAGAACACCATTACAAGGAGAGGTCTGAACCCTTTTAATCCTACCCTGTCACAATAGAATAGCCTACCTGTTATCAGGAGAACCTTCAAAGCATAAGATTGACAGCCACATCTGCTCAAGTTTGCAGAATCCATGAGTCAAACTGGTATGTGGGCTGCCCCATCAGCTCCACAGCCCCAGTTTGTAGTATCATGATAGCACTTAACATACTGGGGCTTTTACTGTTGAGCAGATTAAACTTTATCTTTTATATCCCCAAAACATATAGGTTAAAATAAGTCTCTATGCTACAGGTCATCAATATATGCTATAGACATCTAGGTTTTTATGCTACATGAAGAGAACGCACAGGACTTCTACATAATACGTGCTGTCTTCCTCTGACATGAGGGTTCAGAAATGGAGTCACATTACCTCCCCCCCGAAATTACTTCCTGAAAATGCACAATATGCCTTAGCATCCACACAGAAGCACAAGAGAAGAACACTGTTTGCAAAAACAGACAGAGTAAGAGTCCTGGAGGAGTAACCTAGAACGATGCAACTGTCCAAGGGTTAGCAGGACAATGCAGACATCAGTCTCCAACCTTGTAGTGCCTAGGGAGTCTCCTGCATACTCCAGCTGGTGAAGTGTGGAAAAAACCCGCTTTGATACCCATGAAGCTCTGCTGCTCCTTCAAATATATTCATATAAGCCTAAACGTACGAGTATGTAAATGATCACGTATGGCCACAGACCCTTTTTAGACAGTGCACACCTCAGCAAAAACCAGATTCTTGATTTTTATGCATTCTTATTACTTGGAGGCCAGAATTTGGACTGGAACAGAAGGAAAAAAACCACAAATCCTAGGATCATATTAATTCAGGACAACAATATAAACGTTTTCTACTCTAGGGCTAAGAACTTGAGGAATTTATGAGAACCAGGCAAGAAGACAAGATTTTAAAATTATTTCATAGGTTGAAAACCAGTATTAAGGCAGTATTGTTATATTTTCATAGCAATTATTTTATATGCCACTTTCAAGAAGCTGTAAGGCTTACTTTCCTACCTCATCCTGCTTAATTTCCTGGTTTGTGGCCAGGAAGTTATCACACAGCTGGCCACCACTGTGTGGCAACTTTAAAACCAGTCTGCTTGTCAGGTGCAGTAAAATAATGTCAACTACCACAATTAGCTCACTCAAAGCACTCTGATGTCCTAAGGTAAATAACACAGTAAAACCTATGCATGCAATGTGTCAGCACAATCAGAATTCTCCCAGCCATTAGTTTTGATTAATTTTGGAATGAATCTAGCTCAAAGACACAGAATCATTTTGCAAGTGAAAAAAAGGTCCTGTGGCTTATTTAAACAGAAATATGTGGAGACACAACATGCTTATAGGAAGACACTTAGAAAAGTGAAAACTATGTTGCCAATGAAGCATTTTCCTGCATCAGTCAAGACAAGTTCTGTAATTATTAGTTTTAATTTATAAATATGCATACATTTCTCTCCTCCTCCAACTTCCCTCAATAGAAGAAACTGATGGGATCTGTTACGCAGCGTAATTTCACAGGCATCAGTGCTACAAAAGAGCTAATATTTTCTTTAACCGCTTAGGAGTTGGACTTGATGATCCTTGTGTGTCCCTTTCAAATCAGGATATGCTATGACTCTACTCTATGATGCCTTCACAGCTAATATCTGAGATGATCAGCTTCATTTTACCACATCAAGATAGTCTGCTGTTCAGCCAGCGAAGGCCAATCCATTCACAATTCCAGAGAGCAAGGACCACCATCTTGACTTGCATCCTGACTGAAAGAAAAGACTGTGAAGCACATCGTGATCCCCTTGAAGCACAGATGAGCAAGCACGTTGCCATACGGTGTTTCAGTTGAGGTCTCCCAGTTGTCTTCAGGTTTAGTCACTGATGAAGGATATGACTTGTAATAATCCACCAAAATAAATATCCATTTGGAATAGGAAGATCTAGACCGCAACAGTGAGTTCCATAATAAAAAGGCTGGAACTCTATATGAGGGTAGACAAAAGTGCTGCCACAACATAGAGAAATATCAGGGAAGTAGTAGGAATAAAATATTAAGGCTCCTTCAGAATGGATGATGGGAACATATCCTAAAGCACAGAAGCTGAAATGAAGACAATTCTTCTGGTGGATTCCCCAGGCTATGAATTTCTTCTTTAAGCCCTAGCCCTTAAAGATATCTCACTCTTTGTGAGTACTGAGGTTGAAGTTGAGCAACTACTTATCACCTGATCATACGAAGCAGATGAGATGGGAGAAGTCAGGAGCCAGATGAAGACCCATATCTCTTTGCTAATCCTTCCCACACAAATTGAACTCGAGGGATGACAAGATGAAAGAATGGAGTCTCCTGATACAGCTTTCAAAGCCCTCTCAAAGATACAAACAGAGCCACTCACAGCAACTAACTGCTAAAAATCACAGGAAGAATCAACAATATGCTTGCCAATTGGTATCAGGCAGCCAAATGGTCTAGAAGTAGCAACATGAAAAAGCTTAAAAAAAAGGGATACTGAACTGATTCTTCCTGCTGGCCTGTTAGTCAAGGTGCCAGTCAGACCTCAAGTCCAGCTGCCAAGTCCACGGGCACTGGCGGACATGCACAACACAAACCTTCTCATCCTTGGGTGGACGCCCCCGCTTTCGGGGGCTCTGATCCTGGGCTCTTTTCAAGGGTGATTTTGATCCTCTCTCTGACGAGACAGAAGAAACCCTCTTTTTTCCTTCCCCTGTGCCCTTCTTCACCTTTCCTTCAGACAAACTGGCTTTGCGTTTCTCTTCACCAGCAGATTGCTTGCCTCTTTCTTCACTGGAATTACGCCGATTCTTCTCTTCAGTGGAGTTATGGGAAGACGCCTGAGAGATTATAGAATAGAAGATGGTAAGGAAAGAAGAGAAGAGATGGAATGATTTTCATGCAAAACCAAGGATGTGAAGGACCCCGTGCTGATTACTATCAAGTAAAACAACAGCACAGTAACTTGAAAACTACGTATCTGTTAGACCTTTGGAGTTGGTGAATGAAGTTCCTGGTTAGTTCTCCTGCAAAAACACACCAGTTTAAGTAAGCATGTAACAGAACAGGCCACCTGAAGACTTGCCAGGACTGCTTGCACTTCCAATATACTAAAGACAAGATTAGTTGATACCAAATACTTAAGACTGATTTATAAAATCATCACAAGTAGATCAATTAGCCTCTTCAGTTTCTTCATCATTTAATAATCCAATAATCACTTTTCCCCACCAAACAAGATTTAACGGGGAAGAACAGAGGATCGGAAATAAACCCCAAAGGAAGGAAAACCCAATCCTCCTCAACTTGCCAGAGACAACAAACTCCTTTCACATAACAAGGCATCTAATCATCGTTCATGCCAAAACCTGTTTTAAAGCACACAGTGAAAAAGAACCCACTCACCTGGTCCTTGCCTTTGGTTTTTCTAAGAAACTCCTCTACAGCATCCACAGCTTGCTGGAAGCGCTTACCCTTGTTAATCTTTATCATTTCCTCTTTGTGAGGGTGATAAGGCTTCAGCTGCTCCACTTTGATCCAAGCACTTGAAACAAAAAAAGAAGCTAGTTATATTTTCCAAACCGCAGCCCTCTAAATCCTCCTGCTTTGAGAAACACACAGCTACATTTTCTCCTCCAGCTCTACTAATGACAACAGCCCAAACTCACTTCCTATCTAGAAACTGAAGGGCTGCTATTACTGAATTCAGTGAGAATTTTCTTCTGGCACTTTTGTTACTTCTTAAGTTTTATGTCCTCTCATTCTAGCACTGTCCCCCTTTAAGCATTATTCTCTACTGACAAAACAGCTTTTGGATGTGATCACAAGACGCATTTAAAACAACGGCAGCCCAATGACTGCACTTGTTTCACCATGAGGAACACCCACAGACCCACACTTCCAGGTAAAGTAGGCAATACCACTAATCTACTCGAGAGTAAAGTTCACCTAACAATTCTCAGCTATCAATCCCTGGTTCAAATATATTGAGCATACAGGTGTCTAAAAAACTGTAGGAAAAAAGCTCCAAAATTATGCATTCTCACTATAGAGATGACCACAGAGTTAATACAAAAGCAACAGCTCATTGCTGAACTGATTTCTGATGTACCCAGGTATTCTGTATGAAAACAATAATTTTGTTTATGAGAAAAAATAACTATTTCCTTTGCCTCTGACTGGAGCAATCAGACTTTCTCTTGGCCCCTGGTATTCCTACGTTACATAAGACTATTCACGTATAAAGGTTTTAAATATTCCCCAGTGCAGTCTAGCTTCTGCAAGCAGATGAGGTGATTTAAAGGCTGCATTTTCAGACACTGTATAGTTAAACTGAAAAGGAAGACTAAAACAACAAAAATAATTGCAATGCTTTGTTGAATCTTGATTGTTTCTCCTCTCTCCACAAAATAAACTCTAAAACTAAAAAATATTAAGACTTTTCTCCTCACTGGCAATAGCAATTGTTTGTAAATTGCTTGTAATCAGGAATCAACTTTAATAAAGTAGAATGAAACATTTTGGGTCTCACTTGCAGAGACAATACCTGCTAGAAGCTACTGGAAAATGCCAGCATCCTTTCCAAAGAAGCCAGTGCTCTGGCATGCAAAGATGAATCCTTTCACTTTGTTTACATTGGTTTTTTAAGAACTGACTTATTATATAATAACACAATTCATTGCATTCAGACTAGAATCTAAGTCCAGCAGATATTCAGGGTATCTCTCACAGCCGCCCAGGCATTACTGTGAAACACACCTTAAAATTATCTTACACTGTAAAGCCTGCCTGTATGACAAACAGTGACAAACATCCCTGTGTACCACAGGGAACCAGCTCATGAGAAGCCTTTCATTATATGTATAAAGGAAACCAAACTTTGGACCACAATATAAAAAAAACATGTTAAATGTTGTTGCAGGACTGAATTTCTAAATAAAAATAAGTTATTTTCCCTCAAGGCATTCTCTTAGGTTTCTGCACATCCTATCACTCCTCACTGCACAGGTTCATTAGTTTCCTTTCTAATTCTTTTTCCTTTGGTAGGGAGAAAGCCCGAAGTACAAAGCTTTTTCTGGTTCCTAGCTTCAAAGATGTATCTTGGCACTTGTGATCCACCAGGACAAAGAACTAGAGATCTCAGAGACAAACTAATAAGTGAAAAACAATCTTAAATGCTGCCTCAGTTAAAAATAAACTTTAAAAAAGCAGGGAAAAAATTAAATTGGTCTTTTCCTTTCCAGTTTTTTTATGCATCACCTACTTGGACAACCTTCCATAAGAGAGGAGTATCTTTTGACACCAATGTCCACAAACCAATTGCATGCAGTGTTTCAAGCACTTGAAAACTAAAGAACTTTTCACCAAACAAAACTATTCATGTTTATACACAAGATCTCAATACCCTCAAGGCCAATAAGCCCAGTATTTAGATCAGCCTCAAGGATACAACATATAAAATTAATTACTGTTTCTCTCCTGATTCAGCAATGAATCAATGCATGAAAAGAATATTAGTGATGACACTGAAGATGTCATATTTAAGATGACATTGCATTCATACTGCTGCACAGTCACCCAGCAACTCTAAAGAATGGGCTACATGCAAAGTGAAAAGATGTAATAAAAATACCTATTAGCAATGGCTTTCTCTTTTCATTTCTTCACACTGTTCCTCATCGTCTCCAAAATACCACTCTTAGAAAACCACTGCCTATTTCAAATCCACATTATTAACATGAACAATAGGCAAAAGTTAGAATAAGTAGAGACAAGTATGAAAGTGACCTGCAGTTACACGGAAACAGTGGCACAGATAGATGCAGAGACACCAGACTGAAATCCATGGCACAGGCAAGGAGATCTTCAAACCTTCACCATTCCAGCCATTCTCTTCCTGTCTACAGATACGAACTCCTAATGATAAGCTGCAGAAATGAGATGGAAGAATATCCACCAATCTTCGTTTTTTGCAAACCATATAGCTAAGGATGGAAAACAGTAGCACTGTATCTCCAGATTTCTGTTTACCGCAGTCTGGGAAAAATTTTATTGCTTTAGACTGTAGCACTTTAGATGCCCACACTAAATGCTAACACAACCAGTTCTAAAAATCAAAAGAAAATTTCTTAGTTATTTACAAGGCCAGTGTGTGTGAGCATACAACAAATCAAGACAGATTTCCTTTGTTAAAAGGGAACATCCCAACCCTCATAAATTAAGTAACTCAACTAAACTCTGCAACTTAGGACATAAACTCCTAGGAAAAAAATACAAAAATGACTATATCATACTAGAATAAAGGAAGGGATATTTAGAAGAAATCCAGAAGCAGGGCAATACTGAAGGAAATTTAAGTATTATGTTTTTCAAATTTGTGCAAAAAAATACCTCCTCAGTACGAGACAGAAGAGTTTTGTCTGTAGTGATTTACAGCTATGGTACTGTGCTTGCAGGGATGTTGAACAACGTTCCAGCTGGCTCTGCTACAGCAACACAGAGCTCTGCATGGGATAATCAGCCTCACTGAGAAGTACCAGGAACACAAGTTCACCCACGCCATCAGTTCAGCCCATCCCTCCAGACCCTCAGATTACTAAGGTGTATTTCCAACAGCTGGCAAATTTAAAGCAAGTGTTTTCTCATGTCAGGACCTGAAAGAACATTTCAGGTTCAGAAAGACTACAGGATGTAGAAAGACTACATCCTGAATTTACTCTCTCCTTGAAAACCAGGGAAAACAGTGGCAAAAGAAAAAGGTAGGTGCTTTCATCCGAACAGGACATGGGGGATGGAAAGGTAATGAGCGCTGTGTTAAAATTACTGTGCCTGATGGAAAGAGGCTGCAAATTATTACATTCATCTTTGACTGCAAGCTTCCTCCATTTTTTCCCTTAATATATAAAATCAGGAAGTGCCCCTTGACCCCACCATATTTAGTTTCACACTGATGCTACAAAAGGCTGTAAGGAAGAATGGGCTGTCACAGCTTCCTGTTAAGACTGTGATATACATGACTTGCAAGTCCATTTGGCTATCAGGGAATACCAAAGGAGGAAGAAAGGTGAATGGCTGTGTTTGTACACACATCTCTGAGGGCTGCAGGACCATCACTAGTATTTCTATAGAATCACACTGGAAAGATACCTTCAAAGCAATTATATCTTAAGTTTTAACAAATATCATAATGATTCTTAAGCCGGCTAAAAAATGTAAAACTTTTTAACTGCATGGCACACACCAAGAAAGACTTGCAGGCCAGCCAGTCTATTAGTTTTAACTACTAAAAGCAATAAATGTACATACACAGCAAAATAAAAGTTCTTACTTGACTACTGAAATATCTACAAAGATTTCCTACAACAAAACTGTAGGAGATAAAAATAAACAGGGATTTTAAATACTATCTGAGAAGCACAGTTAGAAGCACAGATAAGAGGTCTAAGTTCCACTTCTAAACTAAATCAAAATTTTTGTTTAGATTCCTGTAATGATGTTGTTACATGCCTGTCAGGTCTATGGGCAGGAAACATCAACTGTTCTTGATTTTAGACAGAGAAACCTTTTAATGTGACTTGCCCTAAGAAGAGACACTCAGAAAAACAACTCCTAGGCAGACTAGAAAGAACACCTTATCAATTTGGAGAACAAGGTAATAAAGAGACATTGCATGATTGTCTTAATTGCACACAATCATTTAGAACAGGACATGGGTATTTCATCACTACTATGAACATCAGGTGGCTTTCACTGTGGGAAAGCATATATGTACTTCACAGTTTAAACATAAGCAAAATCTGCTTCCATGGGTAGAGAATCCTTATCTTTCAGAAAACCCATTCCTTCAAATGTAAAAGAAACTAACACCACCAACAGAACACATGGAGTACAGTGCTCTGTAGAAAATTTATCAAAAGCCAGGATTTAGAGCAGTCAGAATGCACTCATGCTCTCACCTCTGTATGTTGGACCAAAAGTACTCACAGCTTTCCAGTTAATCTATTTCCTTAGTCACTGCATCATTGCAAAGGCCTAGTACACGGTAATATTCAATTTGCAGAAAAAGGAAAATGCATTTCCCCTGTGCTGTATCCTGATCTAGTCATAATTTCACAAAAAAACAAAACTTACACACTACACCAAAACCACTGCCAAACTCATCAGTATGTTTTTATTTACCCTTCTGCTCTGCTCATGCACATCAATTTTTACTTCTAAACATTTTTCTCCTTAAGCTTTAGTATGACAAACCAAAGCCACATGAGTCAGTGGGGAACAATTTGCACCCAGCCTGGAACAGGCGCATTTCTGGCCACAGAAGACACCTAAGAATCCCTAGAAGGAAGTAAGTCTAAAATAGGGTCTGACACCGCCTGCCTCTTGACAGACTGGCTGGCAACAACCCTCAGAAGTTCACAGGAGGGACTGTACTCAGAAATCAGCATCGCCTTTGCCTTCTATTCACTGGACAAGAGGTAAACAGCTGATGACCAGATCCTCTCCTGTTCAACCTCAAAGGGTAAGGCAGTAATACAAGAGCTGCAGCAATGGATCCATGGTACAGAAATGCCATCATACAGTGTGAACACGGCCGAAGAAGTGAGGTGCTAAAAAAGAAGCTATATGCACTAGAGAGTAAGTGCACTCCTCATCTCCCCTTGAACAGTGACAGCTCTGCACTCTGCTGCTCCTCAGGCTGTTCATAAGGTGGTGACATTCTCTCAGTTACCTTCAAAGTGCTGTTTATACACATACCTGAAAAAAGTATTTGCCAAACCCACTAGTTTACTTGTACAAAAGAAGTACAAAAGATTTCCTCTTCATCTTCACATATGAAGTGAAATAATTTCTATTTTTTCCTGATTTGGCTGATTATGCTCAAACACAATCAAACATATGAGAACTTTCTCAGGCAACACACTGGTTAGAACAGCACAACTCTAACCAGTACATCCTTCTGACATTCCAAGTTAGGACAGAAGAGGCACACAAGCTTCTGTCTCTTGTCTCTATCAACATTATTTGAAAGAAAGGTGATAGTCTTTATTTCTATTCAATTTTCAGGTACCAATCAAAGCAAGTAAATTTCTAATTCTTGATTATCTAGCATGATATGATTAAATTTCACAAGCTGGAAATGTGGGGAAGGGGCTACACTACAACAACCATACTACTTCACTGTGCCAGATGACCAAATCTGCCCTAGGCAGAGCTCTAGAATCTTGTAGTAAATCCCAATTATTTTGCAGCTCTGAACTCTTCATTTGCAATCATGTTATTAATCTCAGCTACAGTATCCAAGATATTTGACCATTTGTCTTAATACCAAAAAAATCTGTATTTGATTCAATGTGAAATACAAGAATTGAAAACAAATAATCAGGACAGAAATAATCCACTTCAACTCCGAATTTATTAGCTCAAATAATCATATTTAATAACACCACCAAAAAACATTCTCTAGCCTCAAATCAACCTTCACCTGCCTCAAATTACTAGAGATCCAAACATTCCCATTACTATGTGGCATTCAATACTCCACCATCAAATTTAGACCTCATTTCTTAATGGAAAAATATTTTAGTATTATGCAAAAATATTTTAGCAGTGAAAAATAATTTCCTTAAGAGCCATTCACCAAATGGCCTCAGTTCTTGTCATCTTTCTTCCTAAAAGTAATGGGGTTTTTAGTCTTCCACAGATATTTGCAATTTTCTTCTTTATTCCGTGACTTAATAGCAGAAAATAGAGAGAAAAACTGAAAAGTTATCAAAATAATTTTCATTTTCACAAAACATCCAAGTTCTCAGGGGCCTTTTTCATTGGGTTTTTTTACCTAGTTTGTAATCATTTAAATCTAAGACAACTATGATTTTGCTCACATTTGAAATCATTAAATTCTGCTTTGCAAAAAGGAACTCTAAAACAGTTTTGGCTCTCTTATACTGTGAAGTCTTACAAAAGCACGGCTAGAATGTTTTCAATCAGCATGTAGGACAGCATATTCTTTCACAAATGACAATTATATAGTTACTTTTATTCCTCTGGCAGCAAAAAAAAAGAAATATTCTGAGCTGTACTTTTCTCATTACATGCTAAAACCTGACACAGTCATGTCACACCTAAAAGTGGTGAGCTATCACAGCAACTCAATTCCTAAAGCTAAGTTTTTATACCCTTCATACACCTCAGTGAGCAGATATAGCATGCAATAACAGCTGAATTTCTTTTATTGTGTGGTTCAAAGGGAATCCTTTACAATGCTACATTGCACTGTAATATTAGTAAATATTTCTTCCACAAAAGATCCACGTTATGTGGTACAATATTTTCCCCAGATGAAAACAAGGAGGTACATACTGATCTTCTGTTCCAAAAAACTTCACGAAGAAGCACTTTTTTCCTCGAGGTTTCTTCAGATCTTTAGGTGGGTTAACAATCTAAAGGTGATTAGAAATCATAATTAAAAAGCACATAGTGACAAATTTTGTGATTTTACCACCCAGTCTTCAGCTATTATAGATTTTTTAAAAATCTGATTAGGAGGATAACTTGCATTAATAAAAATTTGTTCCACTTAGGTAATCTTAAGAATTTAAACTTTGTCTTTACTCGCAGAATAAATTGCTTATCAACTTTAAAATGCTAGTAAGGAGAAAAGCTATCATTCTGTTACAAGGTGACACCTGTAGAGGACCCTGGTGTTAACCTGACCCAATAACCAAATGTTTATAGTTGTCAGCCACATTGACTAGTCTTTTACCTGACTCAAACTTACCTCAGCATGCTTAGCCCTCATACAACATGTAAGATAAAAGAAAGGTCTTTCTGAGAAGTAGAAGGAATACAAACGGCATATAAAATTCCTTTTTAAAAATCTTTCATCTGAAAATACCCCAACCAAACCAGAAGTAGGATCAAACCACCCTAGATAATTCTCAAAAACGACAGCTCTAAAACAGTATCTTGAGACGCCAGACTCCTTATTTCCATTACTTAAGACTGTACTGTTAGCCAACTTACTACAGAAGAAAAGAAACATGTCTTGCAGAAAGTGACAGGGACTAAACAACTAAATTTGGGAAACACAATCAGTTCCAGAGCTGACTCTCTGTTGGCTTTTCATTCCACATGAACTACCAGCTCTTACTGACAGACTGAGATAACATATCAAATAAAGCCCTAAACTAGCTCACGCTTTAGATTTGTGGGGTAGATGTGTAAAAGAACAAACAAGAAAACCAGTATTAATCTACAACTGAAATGCTTTCAAGCAAAGCTTTCCTTACACAAAAGGAAAACACAAAAAAAAACCACACCAAAAAAAAAAATCACAAACCATGAAAAACTAAAAAAAAGCAACAATAAATACAAACAAACCTCACCTTCCCTGGCCATGGAGGGTAACGGCCAAGCTTCCCCCTAGAGAAAAAAAAGAAATTATTAGGCACTAGAACTAGAGAAAAAACTAACTATCCCAATGCCTACTTTTTCATATTATGTCACGCTTTTCATAATAAGAGAGTTACAGTTTGCAGTCAAAACCTTCTGTTCAAGGCAGGACACATGGCTGACATCTGCACCTAACTCAGGTCTCTGGACAGTCTGTTTGACCTTGCTGGACTGCCAGAACTGAAGAGAAGAGTATCAGTAACACAGTCTGCAAGATACAAGAGTAATAGGCACTGCAGCACCATAAGAGTGGAGATTTCTTCACATGGAGCTGAAAAAAACACTGAGGAATGCAATGAGACCAAAGTTCAGGTTAAGAACTTCTATCAACCTGTCTAGAGCAGCTGGTGAGCAGATCAGCCACCAACTCCCAGCACAGAAAGCTAAGGTTCTGATTCGTGCAGAAAGGCATTAATAGCATGATCCCCTCAACAGGTGTTCCATTATCACTTTTTCAAGTGCTCACCACCACACTAACTGAAGGTATGAAGACCCATAGAAGAAAGGCACTACTACTTCTACACTTGCAAATGTTTCCATTATGAAAACTAGGCAATACTAGAAATAATCACAGAGGAGGAAGAGACATTAGTTTTAGCCCCCAGCTCACCAGCTTTCCTGGAGAGCTTTATCCTTATTTCACCCTTGTCACTGACTTGTGCTGCAGTACTCACAAAACCCCATTAGTAAGTGTCTTGCAAGAGACGGGCAAAGAACCTGTGGGGCCCAACAGCTCCTGACACAAAACTTCTCAGCAAGTGGCACCGCAGCACGCTGAGATGGCAGTGCTGCACAGAAGCCAGGGGCAGGCAGCAACACTGCCAAGAGCTGTGACCACGACCATGTCTCATATTCAATGCTTCCATGACTGTACTGAGAAAAAAATTCAGCCAACCCTTTCTGCTGTCGCTGTCTTGTTGTTAAAAGTTCCCTGCGACAGCTCTAGGGACAGCACCTGGCTGTCATGTACAAAACTAAAGCAGGATAATCTGCATTCCAGCACCGAGAGTAACACTCCCCAAATTCTCATCTGAAATACATATGCTAAAAGTAACTAATCCTTACTTACTTTGCTATATAAATTAGACAACTTCCCAGCACTGCAAATTTTTCAGATGAGAGCTGCAGTTGTCACAGTCTGAAGCACAGCCTTCTTTTTATCTGGGTTATCAGTATAAATGCATGCATTTATTCACGTGTTGGAAATCAGCTACTTCTTTGAGCTCTGGCAGGACAGCCTAGCCCATCCAGCACAGCGAAACCTATGCACTTAAGCAGAGCTTACAGGGCGCGGTGGAATGCTCTCACTTCTCCCCATCAGGAAACACGAAATCACAGCTCTGACTATCTGAGGGTAAGATCGCAGTGACAAGGGGAAACGGCTTCTGGGGGTTTCCACAGGGACACCCCAACCTGCAAGGAAACGCTGGACTGTTGTGTTGCTTCATTAAAGCACTGCCAAGAAACGGTGCGTGGCTCTCCATAAACACTTTCCATCTCTAACCCTTTTCGCATCCCTCGGGAGGTGAGCCCGGGCTTACAAGGGAACCACGCAGCGCCCGTCCTTCCGTCCCGCTTCCTTCATCCTTCCATCTGACACAGCTTCCGTCATGCGCCGCCCCCGCCAGCCTCCCCA